AAAGAAAGAAAACAAAATGTAGACACAGGAGAGCAAAGTGAGCTTTATCTGTTTTCTTTCTGTCAACTTACCTTAGTCGCAAGACTCTTCACTTCTGTAATTCAGTAAGGAGCATGTGAGTCTCACAGTCAGTGTAGAAATCTGATACACTCTGCTGACTTGAAGCTGACTGAATGCTCGCCTGGAGAACACTGGCAGAGAAGAGAGGGAGGGAGAGAAGGGACTAAAGGAGGGAGAAAGGGAGGGTCTTGTAAAGAGAGAGAGAGAGGAGAGGGAGTGACGTGGGAAAACAGGAGGACTGTGGGAAAGAAGCAAATAATACATTCAAACAAATGGGATTTTCCCCACTTATTTTGTGTCAGATAAAATCAGTAATCACAATCGATTGATGCTAATAAAAGGTTGCATTTTTTATGCTGGATAAGAAGATAATTTTCAGTCATCCAATCATTCAAAACAAATCAGTCAACATCTGCCGTGGTGCGTTGTCCAAACAAGCAACAACACAGCCCAAATATGCAGGACAAGATAGCTGGAAAAGATACACTTGGAGAGCACATAACATCTAAACGTTGCCAAGACATCCTTTTCAGCAGCCATTATTGGCAACAGTTAAGGAATTATATTTTTCCCATGTTATAGGGAGTGTCAAAAAGGGAGATATACAGTTATAAGTGCGCTTGAGCAAGCCAAGACAAGAATTAAACCTTTCTTCTAAAAACTGAACTAAGACAAGAAGGAGACACTATTACCTACCTATTATCTGGAGATGGCACCTCTTTGACATGGGAGAGAAGAAACAGACAACTATCCTGATGCTTTTCATCACAGTTTATGTAGTCTAGTTTGTGAACTTAGTCCTCCAGTCTGCTCTGTTTAACTCCTCAGTTGCAGAAATGACAGAGAATACATTTGCATAAAAGGGAACACGATAGTCCGATATGCAAAAGTCTGATTTCCTTCTCTGAACTCTACTGGTGCAAATAAAGCAGAGGGAGTTGCTTACTTGTTTCTGTCCTGCTCTTTTGTTCCCCTTATCAGGTGCCCAGTCATTCGCCAATCATTCACCCCCGGGGTTCACCTCAACCCATAGTCATCAATTACAGGCTGATCCTTTAATCTGCTACCAAGAGAGGACTTACCAAGTGGCTTTGGCATGTGGAAACTTATCAAGGCCTTGCAGTGCTCTCATTTAGTGAATGTCCTCAATGATCCTCAAACAACAGCACCTCCAGATCGTGTGAGGTCTTTATGTTCACCAGTGGGAAGCCAGTGAGGGATCATGCCCTTATTGCAAATCCTAGCAACTCTGGCTAGTTGGTTTGAGTGTTGTGATAAGGACGTGGCTCCTCACTGGCTTCCTACCTGAGGACATATTTGTGATTTATAGAAGCACCATTGCGAGGGATTGAAGTTGTATATCTAAATTGCTTTTAACTATTAGTTCAGGCTGAACACAGTTGTTCTGTACAGTGAATCTACGATTCGTGACGACCATAACCAGACGTATTTAAAAGTTCAACAGTTGAGATGATTTTGTCACGCAATGTGATAAAGCTCCTATCATCAATCCTTTACTTTGTACCTGAATCAAAGAGTTTCTGCCTGTTCTGATATAATAGCTTCGAAAAATTTACTTTGTAGCACACAAATGTCCATATCTGAATCACTTCCAGTATCTACTCTGCTTTTGTTTCTCCTTTTTTTGTGTGTTGTAGTATGACTGAGACGCTTGTTTGATTTGCCAGCTTGGCAGCGAAAACCAACACCTAGCTCTGCTTTATCATCTAGCTATTGTGTAACTATGGCTATCTGTTACATACATTGGTATTGTCACTATTTCTGTCAATAGGTATCTTCTTTTCTTGGCAACCAACATGACTGTCATGTTTTAGATTACGTCCGCCACACCAACTACTTGCTTAAAAGATCTAAATTAATAAATAAATTAATAATACAATTAGCAGGTCACACATTGGATTGCATTCATGACAATTTGGTGTTTATTAACTTAGAAATAAGGGCTGCGGTGTCTTGATAATACTGCATTTCAAACAAGAACATTCAGTTATCTGTACTGGACACAGCTTGTGTCCATTTTGCATGCCAGGGAAAACTTTTTTTTTCCAGCATTAACTGAAGTCAGATTCATCAAAGCCTCCTTGAGTAATTGTGTAAATGTGTTCTATCATCTTTAGGTATTTTTGTTACATTATAGTTCTGTGTGATAAGAAGCATGTTCACATCAGATAAATACATATTTTTCCTATTAAGAATAAGTCAATTTAAGACAATCAGGTTTTTCAGTGAAAATTCATCTTTATTGATACCATACATGAATTATCAGACAGAAACCTGGCAAAAAATATAGATATAAAATCACCCCTATGGTGAGGTGCTACAGTAGCCAGCTATGGGTGCATTGCCATTTCAGCTCTGTCTCACATATCACAAACCCTTAATTTTAATCCCTAAATTAGGTCAATTTAGGAAATAGGTTTAAAAGTTGCCGTCTAGATTAATTTCTGTCAGCCTGCTGAGTTGATCCACGGCAAAGGTGGAGTAGGCGTGCTAGAGACAATTTAAACACAATAGCCTGCAGCTTAGTGTGGATTTACAGCCGTTTTGAATATAATGATGGAATAATTTCTGCCCAGTCTGTTCTGGTGCTCTGAGAGACCCCTGCTGGGAGAATCTGCAAATTACTAACCAATAGCTGTCTGCTAGGATTCTGGGTGATGCTGAAATCCATTAATTAGGCAACATTTCTTATCATATGTAACAGGAAACCCTGACACAGCAGCACATGGCCAAGCCCAATGAGTCTTGTTTCCACAGGATAAGATGTAAGGTCAATGGTCAGGTATATTTCGCCATTAATGAAATATCAACTTTGCATTTGATCAGTTACAGATTTGAAAAGCATCTGAAAATAATCTATCAAACAAAACACATAAAATTCATATGATTAAAAGGTTTAGGTGAATTTTATTTAAATTTCACTACAGGATGCGCCATTGAGGCACAGTCCAGTTTGAGGAACTCGAGGCTCTTCATCAGAGGCTGACTAATCATAAAATAGAGCAACTGCAAAAGAAATAAGGATGACTAACAATTTCTTTAAATGTGGTTATTTATTGGTTTTCAGTGGAACTGCTAAGTTTTCAGATAGACCAGGAACCTACAACAGAAGAAAATGGCATTTAAATATCTCTTTAATGGTAACATACTGAACCATTGTAATAAACAGGCCATGATGACCTTGGAGCCGCATGTCAAAAACACAAGTAATGGAATGACCTCTATTAGCATTAATTGACTCAGCAGCCCCACAAACCCCTCCATATATTATCACGAGTATTGTACAGGTGGGTTGGACCTAAACAGAATGTCAGTACATAGAAAAATAAATACAGTTTGCTAAAATGAGGGCAAAATTCTTTTATCAGTGATTGTACCATTAAAAATCACGTTTAAAAAAACTTTTAAGAGGCTTTTCATCTCTTTACATTAGATTGAGTTTCTCATAGTTCTAAGGAGGAATACATAGAATAACTTTTACAGAAATTACTACCTAAAAATATACAAGCACAGACACAAACATGAGGAATAAAGCCAACAAAATGATTCTTCATAAAACATAAAACAGCACAGTGTAATCAATATCTAAAGAATCTTTACATGTAGCTCCTTGGTCTGCAGCTTTCTTAATTGGGATTAAAAACATTTCTGGGAAACTTAAGTTAATACAAAAGTCTTTTTTTTCTTATTTTACAATCCTGTCAAAACTTGTTTTTAAAATATTTTTGAGTAGCAAATTTGAGAAGTTTTCTGTTACTATGTTCTCTGAAGAGAGGACCCCCAGAAAGAGATTTCAAGACAAAGCAAACAGTTCTGCAATGACTAGTCATCAGATCCAAACCAGCGCTTGGTGGAAATTTAGTGGGGAAGGTGGTTGCTTTGGAACTCACATTAAAACAAGATGTAGTAAAGTATTAAACACTAGCCTTGTTCTCCCCAACCTGATTTGTAGCACTGCAGCCAATGGACCTGATGACAGTGTGATGTCTGACACAGATGGATGACATTATATCAAGCACAGACTTACATGAAAGTTATTACCATCACAATAAGAATGATCTAACAGCAATACTTATACATTAATATACTGCAGGTTTCAGATGTTTTACAGTTCTTACATTAGCAATAATAGAAAAGAAAAAAAAAATACACCGTCAATTCATAAGAAAAATAGATTGGAGTTAATAGTGGAAAACAGTGCAAAGAATATTCTGGGGTGTTTTTGTTTGCTTGCTTGTCTGTTTATTTTTTAGAAATTGTTTACAAAAATAAAAAAAATTCAAAACAAGTCTAAAACATAGAAAATGAAAACACACTTCTGTAGCGTCTGGTGCTCTGGTCCAGACATGCTGCATACCGCCTCTCTCCAGTACCTCAATGTTTTATGCTGTAGGTGTAGGTGAGTGTGTGCACTGGTCTGGGTGTAGGTGTGTGTGTGTGTGTGTGTGTGTGTGTATGCGTATGTGTGTGTATGTGTGCGTATGTATGTATGTATGTGTGTGTTTGTCAGTGTGTCAGTGTTTGTGTGTGGGTGTGTGTGTGGGTGTGTGTGTGTGTGTTTAAGATTTAGCGTAGTGGTTCTCAACTCCGGTCCTCAAGCTCCGGCACTGTACAGGTTTTTGTTCCAACCAGGTCCTACAAAAACAAATGATTGAGTTTTTAAAAACCGAACGTTGAATTTTGATACTAAGAGTGCACACAGTTTTCTGCAGCCTGCAAAAAAATAAGTTAAATAAAAGCTAAGCATTTCTTCCCTGTGACATGAGCACAACAGAAACAACGAGGTGCGTCGTCAAGGAGAACGCACGCCTGAGAGACCCGAGGTTGGAACAAGAACCCACTGACATGGTCGCCATGGCGAGCACTCGGACAACAGGACACGCCAACTTTGGCTCAAACATTGTGGTGAGCGATGATGGGGGGGTAAAACACACATGCACACAAACTGCCACCCCGCCAGTCTCACCACACCTCTAAGAGGACTGACTGGAGCCGAGCAGACAAGGGCCAAGGCTGAGCACCACTGATCATGTGCAACAATGTGAGGGAGGCGAGTGGGATTCTGCTGACACTGTCCTTCGTGTGACGGCAAAGAGTTTTATCAGTCCATCAGCTATTATCCCTTTCCCTTACCACTCTCCTTTAGTCTCAAAAATAACATAACGGAACAAAACAAAACAAAAATTAATTGAACACAAGTGCTTGAGGCCACCCTCCCTGACTCCTCTCGCTAGTGTGTTGGCTCAGGTAGATCCCAGTTTTAAGCATTGAAAAAAAGGGGGCCAGCTGGGATCACAGCACTTTACTGGGACGACTGGGAGTTGTCATTCTTGCTCTCCTGACTGGAGGGAGCCTTGTTGTTCCAGGGCGAGTGTGCCCCCAGTGCAGGCGAGCTGTTGAAACTGTCCTCATCCTCCAGGCCATTCGCCCCATCGAACTGCGTGTTCTCCAGCCGCGTGATCAGACGCTCGTCCTCGTCACCAAACTCGCCTCCCATCAGAGTGGGCTCTCCCACCATCATCACGTCCTAAAGGGGACAGCAAGGGCCGGTACATATTATCCCCATAATACAGGGGGTGCGCGGAATGACTGGCTGCACGGACGAGTTGTAACTGCTGCGTTTGTTTTTGTTTCCTATGGCCTAAGTGCGATCTAACTTGGTTCAATTCCAGCGTCACAAGTGAATTTTAACTGAATGAAATGTATAATGACTGACACTTCAAGCTAACTTTTAGGCACCAAGGGACCCCGAGTGTTAAAATCCTGAGGTATTGGTGTCCTCTAATTCTGAACCCAATCACAACAGGACAATGTGTTGTCAGGGCATCTACCCTGACAGTTCAGTAGCCCATGTGGCTCTGACTCCCTGCCCCTGTTCCGAGAACCAGGGTCAAGAGCCCTTCCCTACTGGCCAGCAGTGGGCATCCCTGATCCTTGAGTGCTGCATCAGGGGGGGGTTTTCATTCCACCTCGGGTCTCGTTCACTCAATCAAGCAACCAAGTAAGCAAAGACAGCAGTGCTGTGTGAATCATGTGCTCTGATAGACTTAGTGGTGACTCTAAAACCAAGTTGATACAGCCGATTTAGAGAGAAAACCTATCTGTCCCACTGAAGACCAGAGCAAGGTAACCCTACACCATGGCCCAAAAATATATTCAGCATTACTTAGAGATGGAGGTCACTTGTACCTCCTCTATATAAACCCATAAACCTGCGGCCCCAGAGGACCAGGGACTGCCCATCACTGGTACACATCAGAGGGTCTACTAACTAAATCTACTTATCCTCAGTAGAACTATACAGAAATCAACCCTTAACCCCCCCCCCCACCTCCAGATGCCTCCCTAAGCTATCGCTATCCTGACCTGCTGCTACACCTACTCCCCAGCTGCCACCCCATATGCCCACAAATAACTTTCTAACCTTCTTGTCATTCCTTCCAGCCCCTCCACCCGGTCTTATCCTCCCCATGCCTTGCTCAGATGAACTTGGAGGTGCAGATAGAGGTCAAGTAGATGTAATGCTTACAGGTACCTGGCTGGAGAGTGAAAAGCTGTTGGCTGGACTCTTCTTTTTGCTGTTGCTGTTGTTATTGCTGCCTCCGCCGGAGCTCACGGTGCTTCCACCAGACACCTTCCTTTTCCGTCGCTTGTTTGGAGCTTGTCTGGCTGGCTCAGCTACAAGTAGAAGAAGAAAAGATATAGGCATTAAGTATTTAAATCTCTACAAATCAGTTGCAGATAAAGAACTGATCGGAAATTGCAACTGTGAGTATTCCTCAACCTACTGAAAGTAAAGGCCAGGGCACAAAGACATTTTTTCCCCTCAGTGTCCCGCAACTGTCCCGAATTATATTTTCAACTGTCCCAAACATAAAAATAAACGTCCCAAAGTGAAGATCTTGTTTTAATTTAACAGAATGAATATAGTTTAATAACCTAGTTTCAGTAACTCGCATAACTTTATTGACTCACTCTGGTGTTTCGTCCTTCCAATGTTTGATCAATGAATGCATCACTGTGAACTGACGGCAATGGAAATTTACCTCGACAACATTATTATTATTATTATTACTTAGCCAAATGATCACAAACTTGCAACAATGTCATTGTATGTTTGAAGTAAGAAAAACATCTACTAAAGGAGGGAGAAACTCAAACACTAACTATTTCAATATTTACACAAAATTATTACATATAAGCTACAGAAACACACAGAGTGAGAGAGATAGTAAAACAAACTTACATATAGACAGACAAACTATAGGGACCTCCTAATCCAGAGAGAAAGAGTAAATGTTGGCATAAGACTGATTACTAAGACGTTGAATAAGCTAAATCTAGCAGGAAAAACAACAAGTTGGCTGCACCGCTCTCTCTATAGGATTGACTTTGTGTGTAAGCATGCATGTGACTTATCGTACAACTTATGTCCATGCCAGCTCACATTCTTCAAATTTACAGCTAACAACTACAATGATATATATTCCATGATGCAAAAATGTAATAACTTCATTTATAATGATCCCTTTCTCTACTGTCCCAGAATTGTCCCAGGTACTGTATCTGGGACAGCAGGACATCCTTTGTTTCGAGTGCTGGTAAAGGCAAGAGTGTGATAAATGCCACTGGCAATTTCAAAAGGTGTGTGTGTGTATATGTGTGTGTGTGTGTATATAAGTGTGTGTGTGTGTGTTACCTGGAGGTGCTACCATTCTTTGCCACTTTTGGAAGAGGCAGGTCTTCAGACAGTCTCTGGGGCTCAAGCTGTAGGTCTTATGTCTGGACATCAACTCTTGCATGGGCTCCAATATCACGCATAGCTTTAGGGAAGATAAAGAGAAACCAAAGAGACATTAATGAGTGTGACTGTTGATTGTTGTATGGGTTGTTGCATGTGTAGTTGAGGATAATTTAATGACCAAAAAAAGAACATCATAAGAAAATTTGCTTACACGGAGGTAGTTGAGCGTGGAGTTGGACAGCCCACATCTGGTGATATTTTTAGCCAGCTGATCGAGCATCTGGGGATCCTGCATGATTTGGTTAAAAAGGTGAGATGAGTAATGATGTTGATGTACAGTGTTGTGCATTTAAGTGCGAGTGTGTGGTTTTTGGAACTCACATGCATAGCCAAAATGCTCCTTGGTAGGACCTCTCTGTGTTGTCTGATGCTGAAGTGCCACGTCTTGATCCTCATCATGTCATCAAACATGAACTCTAGGTACAGGCGGCCCTCCACACAAACCTTACCCACAGAGAGAAATAAAAGTTAGAAATCAAGGCACCAGTGACAGAAAGTAGGATGGCTGCTCATTTTTCATGCAGTGTGACATTAACCGTACCTGTGTGAACATAGGTTTGCCGTTTTGGGTCACCATGGTGCACTGGTCACAATCAAGAGACACAAAGTTACTGTGGAAGGACTCCTTTGGGTGCTTCAAAACATAGAACAGCTCGGTGGCGCCCCCCTCAAAAATACTTCGAAAGTATCGTGGAATCAACGTCCTGCCGATGGCTGCAGATAATCAAATGAATACATTGATGATCAATAAAATGACACTTCAAATGATCCAAGTAGAGAATGTATGTGGGAACAGTAGGACAGAATCTGACACAGCCATGAGAAGGATAAAACCAACAAGAGATATAATGCCACTAACAATTATATGGCAGTCTTATATTATGTTAAAACTCTCAAGTAAATTTGAAAGACACAAACTATCTAAATAAAAACATATGGAAATCTGAAGGGGGGGGATATACGTCACATAAAGTAGCACATTCTTATAATAAAACATTTTTACTGTTTTAACATTTACAATTAAAATCTTAATATTAAATCTAAATATTATTTTAAAAACATTCTTACTGTATCGTTTGGGTCCATCTTCCAGACAGAAAGTGATGGTGAGCATGGCGTCATCCTCAAAAAACTCTGTGGTGAAGGCATCCCACCAGAGATTGTCACAGTCCTGAAAGCAAAGGATGAACAGTTTTTTTCCCCTTAAAATCTGCAAGAACAACTTTATTAAAAGCAAACATGAGGCAATTTACTTGTTCATATAATCACAATGAAATAAAACATAGCATTAAATACATTTAAAGGATCCAAATAACAGTTTTACTTAAAATGGGACTTTTCTTTCCTATTTTGCAAATCTGTTTTGTTCCAAATATGAGATAAGGAGACATTTGTTATCTATGGATACTGCATTTACACGTACATCTCCAATAAAAAATACTACATGAAAAAGAAATGAGAAAAAAATTCACCAGCCACAATAGTAAATCACAATTTGTGTCTGAAATATAGCAGCCACTCTCATATTTCACCAGCAATTGGTTTGTGGCTAGTGGTAATTTCCCACTCTCATAAAGAAGTGGGGAAGTTATGGGAGATAACCAAAACAAATACATTAAAACTACTCAAAAAGAAGAAGCAGAAAAATCTGGTTTCCTCAAATGTACCACTTTTATTATCCTTCTACTCTTCTTCTCTACAATCTGGTCAACAGGATCCTAGTTTGTGTAAACCACTGTTGTTCCTTGGGAACTGATGTGTATGCTTTATGACAGACATCCACATCAATGATCAGCAGATGAGTAGTTACATTTGTTGTCGGTACAGTGAGTAGTACAAATAAAACTGAACTTCAGGGAATTAGCTTTCTAAATGAGGCTTTCTACGATTCAGACGTCAGGTGTTTTGTTGGACATAAAACTTTTCATATTCACGTTATTCAATTCTACTAAAATCCCTCCGATGTACAGACGTTAGTAAGCATGTATTTGTTGTGTGCAGACTGACAGTCACATAAAAAGCAGGGCTCATAACATCTACTCAGTTGTATGCTCAGGCATATAAACAGTTGGCACTCCAATTACATTTTAGGCAGGTTGATCAGATAATCCTATTAGAGCCTGAATGTAAATGAAGTCAGTTCAGTTCTCGGGCTTAATTTCCCACAAAATCCCTAGCATGGTTAGCTACACATAAACAGCAGCTGGAAGGAAAAAAATCTGAAAACATGGCAACAGTAAGTAGTTCACAGGAGCTGCAGAATGTAGCACTAGGGACTGGAATAAGAGCCAATGTGAAAATTAAACACTGAGCCTGTGTTTTTGTACAGCAACTGTTGAGTTCTTATTACTCCTCTATGTGAATGATGAAGTGACTCTTACCTCCGTCCAATTCTGTAGCCTTTTGTTCAGCTCATATATCCTGTAATCTGTCTGGTTCCCGTACGGTGTTGGTCTCCTGCAACAGAAAACACGGGGGAATTCAGCAGTTTGAGCTGCGTCGGTAGCTTTTCCACACCCATAATGCAAACAAATAGAAAAGGCTAAGACTAGTCTCATACGCAAGTTCATTACTAATTGAATGCCTAAATGTTTTAACATTAATGGAGAACACCCAGTATAAGCACTTTATAAAGTTAAGACAAACCACAAATGTCTATTCAAGTGTGTGTGCTCACCCCATTCCAGGCTCCATGTATGATGGGGGGTACATGGGTGTAGGCCTAGGAGGAATAAAAAAATACTAAAATTAGCAACTGTTTTCTGAGAAACCTAAGTAACACCAAGCATGCGTGCCTTTGGTACTACAAGGCAAATGTATTATATGTCATGAGCTTGTTGATTTCAACAACTTATGTGACTAATATGGAGTTTTCAGATAAAAATATACATCACAATAAAAAAAAAGGAAGGTACAAAAGCTGTTAAAATACTCAACACAGTTGACTTTGTCACTTTTAATGAAGCTGAATGTGTCTTCTCTATTTTTGTCCTTTTAGGCCACATTTAAAACCAGTCTGCTTCGGTATAGTCAAAAATCATTATCAAAGACAGGATGATCAAACAGTGCGAGAATGTGCTATAAAAAACACAAATATAAGCCATAAAACATCCATACAGATCATTATTTATAAAAACGATCCGAGAGTGACATCTTATATTCTTCAGTAAACAGATCAAAGATAACAAATTATAATATCAAAACCTACAGCATGCAAGGAGTAAAAGGAGACATCAAAAAGTAATAAATCACATGATTTAATGACTGAATAAATGCAAAAGGTGCCCTAGTTTCGACATATTTTCCTTCTGACAGAACATCTTGTGCCCCGACCTACCCCACATCTCTGTCCAGCATAGCGCCTGGGTGGAAGGGGGGAAAGCTGCCGCCGTTGGGGGGCTCCTTAGGAGAGTACAGCTTGAATGACTTTGACGAACAGCCTGCACACAGCAGAGGAGGAGAGAGAGAGAAGGG